GTCCCCAGAGAAGTGAGGTCACCCCTTCAAGGTTCCATGAGCTGTGCCCCTTCCTCCAATCAGAGCCACCGGAAGGCCCTCAGGGCTGCTGACCTCTCACCTTCTGGCCCATGTTATCTCCATACCTGTATACAAGCATTCAACACAGCCCTCCCCCCGAGCTCCCTGGGAAGAACGAGAAATGAATCCCAAATCCTTAGCGTGTCCGTCCAGGCCGTCCATGATCTGACCTTAGCTTCTTTGGCAGTCTTGTCTCTCCTTCACCCCTTTTCTGTGGTCACACTGTGAGATCCTGATTGGCATCACACTCTCCCAGCCCAGCTTAGAGCTGTGTCATGCCTGTTTCCCAAGATCTCTCTCTGGAGTCGGTGGAAGTCTGGTGTTCTTTCAGGCAGCTCCCATCCTTCCCCTGTCCATAGTTTTTTGTTTTTGTTGTTGTTGTTGTTTGCAATACCATGCTATGCTACAGCCTTGTCCACCCACAGGAGTGTTAAGGATCTCATTCAGTGTGAAGCTGAGAATTATAGGCAGCAGAATAGTGATGAAGCTAACAGTAGGGATTTGTCTTTCTCACAAAATAACAAGTGCACAGGTAGGTGGATCCAATATTGAATTCAACTGCTCAATGATGTCAGGGTAATCTCCCAGCATCAACGAGAGGAAAAAAATCCTCTCTTCGCTCTTTTGCTTTATTTCAGGGAGGAAAATAGCGTCTCAGAAATCAACTATGAGACTCTTGCGTGAACCCTTGGGCAGGAAACGCCAAATTGCAATTGACATTCGGCAGTTTCATGTCAAACTGCTCCTGAAGGAGGTGCCTCAGCCCAGGAGGATGTTGTGAGGGGGAAGGGCAGTGGGGACATGTCCCATGGTGAGCTTCCTGTTTCTACTCGGATCACTAATGGTCCCGTACATTTCTCCTGTGTGGACTTGTGGAGGAAAGGTGTCCCGAGATGCAGGGATGACTGTTTCACAACAGCTTCCTGGTGTCTTGAAATTCCCTGTCTCATAGGGTCTATATTATCCACATATATCTTGTTAGGTATATATCTTTTATTGATCTCAGAGATAGGAAGGGAAAGGGAGCAGAGAGAGTCGGGGGTTGGGGAGTGAAGGGGAGGTGAGGAGTGTGGCGAAGTGGATAGAGAAACATCAATGATGAGAGAGCATAATCGGTCACATAGCCCCTAGCGCACCTCCGGTACGGGCCCTGACTGAGAATGAAACGGGGATCCCTTGGTTCTGGGGTCGACGCTCAAGCACTGAGCCATGCCAGCCCGGCAGCCACATATCACTTTAAAATGAAATTTTTATTAATTCAAATTTAGTAAGACTTAAAATTCAGGGAGACATTTAGGTGTCTCTTGTTGGATACCTGAGGAGTGTTGTTTTGGTGTGTTGACCAGCTGGTTTGCCTTGAAAGCAAATATGAAATGAAAGAAAGGAAATGTGTCTCCCCTCAGAGCAAGAGTGTTCTCATGAGAACGATGAGCTTTGGATGGTTGGGCCACCGCACTGAATGGATCCGTCTTGCACAGCACAGCGTGCCTCCTTTTGCAATACTCACCAGTGGCATTCCTTTGTCCTTTTCTGCTTAGAATTTTCTGACATGATGGTTTTCATTTAATTATAGATTGTTGCAGTGGTGGTGTCAGTGAACTATGGCCCTTCTGGTAGTACGAGGGCTGTGTACCTTGTTTTCATACTGTCCTTTTCCAGTGCAACCATTTTGTGAATTCTGAGTGGGAATACAGGGCTCCCCCACCCAGAGCCAGGGCTGATGGAACTATATATAGTGTACCGCCCTTCCCCCCTCCAGCAGCAGATTCTTCCTAGAATTGGAGAGAGGGGACGTGGCTTCGATGGGCAGCCCAGAACCAGATCACTTCAGGCTGCACTGCACAGAACTATCTCGGCCCAGCACTCATGGGACTCCATCCAGGTCCTGTGTTTAATAAGAACGCCTAGAAAAAGAAGCCGAAGAGATTCTGCGGCAGGATATGCTGGCCTCCTTCAGGGTCGGGATGCAGGGTGCACACAGCGAGGGGGTGTGTTCCGCTGGAGTAGACAGTGTTGGGGAGCAACATCCAGGTCCCTGGAAGCAGTGGCGGGCTTCTTCTGCTGCAGTGCAGGGGTGGTTGGGGACAGGTGGCAGGTGGCACAGCCCTGTGGATACGGAAGGACTTTCCATCTCTGACGCATTGCACAGACCAGTCAGTCTCATAGCAGCAAGGATCCTTGTAGCTGAAAGTGCTCTACCCAAGGCCTCTTCTTAGAAAACAGGGAAGGAAGGAATTCCTGCATCAGCTGAGAAGCTCACTGTCCTTTCAGTCAAGTATGAAGCGGAGAAGCAGTGCCAACGAGTCCCCGTTCAGAGAGAGAGAGAACACCAAATAGCAGCTCTTGTATGCGTTCTTTCTTTTACGTTTGAAAAGAAAACTTGCAACTCTTGGAATACGATGGCATATTTGCATGTGATTGTATTTTAACTCCCATTGCACTAAAACTTATATTCCCTTAATTTGCCATTTTTCCAAATATTTTGGTTGGTAATCATAAGTGTTTTGTTGTGTTTTTGTTTTTTCATTTTTTTAAATTGACTTCAGAGAGGAAGGTAGAGGGCGCGATAGAAACATCAATGAGAGAGAACCACTGATTGGCTGCCTTTTGCATGCCAATCACTGGGCATCGAGCCCATAACCCAGGCATGTGCGCTGGTTCATAGGTCATTGCCCAACCACTGAGCAACACCAGCTGAGCTAAATGTTGTATTTTAAATTTACTACATTTAAGGGAATGTAGTAACTATTCTATAGACATATTTAATGTCTGTGTCTATAAGAAATGCAGAAACAAATGAACATGAAATCATTGTTTCCCCAATAACCATCCAAAAAAAGAAGAAAGGAATTGTTTTTATAACAATGGCTTTGTTGTCAATGTATCTTAGTCATACTTTAGCCGTGATGAAGTGTACCTGTTATTGTTTCTGGAAATGTAAAAGCTGTGAAAGGAAAACCAAACATAATACATGTACGTATTAGAGAAATAGAAGAAAGCTCCCCCGTGTCTATGGTGATGTTTCCTCCCTTTTCCTAGCGCTTCGTTCGATTCCACCGTCCGGCTGTGGGATGTGGAGCGCGGCGTGTGCATCCACACTCTCACCAAACACCAGGAACCTGTCTACAGTGTCGCTTTCAGCCCCGACGGCAAGTACCTGGCCAGCGGCTCCTTTGACAAGTGTGTGCACATCTGGAATATTCAGGTAATCCCCGATTCCTTTCTCTGAGTAACACCCAAGTCGTTTCAGTGACCCAGGCTCAAAACCGTCGCTGGGGAGTTTGTGCTGAGTCGCTTCTAAGTCCCTGGCATGAAACCCTCTGCCTGCCTCATCCTTTTCTGGGGTACCAGCCGTCGTCTCAGACAACCAGCATCTCAGACAACCGTAACCCAGTCCTCTTGTCTCCAGAGATGCTGTCCTCGAGGTACTAAGGTTGGGGCGACAGGTGTCATTCCATTTGCACTTTCCGGGGCCCAGCTAAGGGGGCGGGGCCAGCCACTCCACATCAAGTAGCACATGGGAGGGTACAAAGGAGTATCTGTTTGCTTTGTTGTGCCATTTTGATTTTTCTAATGAAACTAGTTTATGTTTCTGTGGGAAAGGGTATGTCAGTATTGGGTTGTGCTATTGGCAGAACTAAAAGGAGACAGCATTTGAGTAAATGTAGCCGTGGGTATCGCTGGCTGCACCTGAGACGACAGATTCTGAATATAAAGTGTGGAAGTGGGTGGAAGATAGAGCAGGGGGTGTTATGTTGGGGAGTCACCTCTCGGTTCTCTAGCTGATGGAAGAGATATGGTCGGAGCCATTGCAAACAGCCAGTGATCCAGTTTGTGTGACCTCAAGGTGGATTCAATGGCCTCCCCTCTCCCCTTCTAATCCAGTCTGCCTTCTGGCTTCCCTGTGGCTGGGTTGAAATTGAGGTGCATTTTAATTGAGTCCATGCCCCCTTGTGGGAAGGGTTGGTAGTACATGAAGCAGGTGAACTGGCATGGGGTCCACTGAGACCTCAGGCTTTCAGAATCTGCCTCCGATGGGCTGCATCCTCGTGGAGAGGGAGAGATGAGGGTGGGCCCCATGCGGAACCAGCCTGCCACCAAGCCTCACAGCCCAGATAGGCCAGGTGGAAAATGTGCATCCAGCAATACTGTGCGAGAGTCCCTCTTCATAGAAACAGTGACGGGTGGATGTGTAAAGTGACATCCTAGAAAAATGGCATTAGGTATTGCCCACGGCCAAAGGCTCACCAAATTATGTCCCTCCTGTTTTATAAATCACAAACCTCTTTGATCCTCAGTGAGAGGATGCCCTCTCTAAGTACAAGTATGTATATAACACTAGAGGCCTGGCGCACAGGGTCCCTCAGCCTGGCCTTCGGGGATCAGGCCGAAACCTGCAGTCCAACATCCCCCAAGGGGTCCTGGAGTGGGAGAGGGCCCTCGCTGGGCAGCTCCTGTGTTGAGCTCTGCCCCCTGGTGGTCAGTGTGTGTCATAGCTACCGGTGGTGGCTATAGGTAGATTGCGGCCTTGCTCCCCCCAGTTCCCACCCCCTTAGCTCCTGACCGCTGCTTTGCTTTGCAGAGTGGGAGGCTCGCCCACAGCTACCGAGGCACTGGCAGCATCTTCGAGGTCTGCTGGAACGCCCGAGGGGACAAAGTGGGCGCCAGCGCGTCCGACGGCTCTGTAAGCAGCACCAGGGTTTGCTGGGGGGCAGAGGGTGTGGGGCCGAAAGGGGAAACCCCAGGCAGCTGATCCCCAGGGCAGAGGCTGAGAACCTTGCTCCTGCCTCAGCCCCACATTTGTGCCCCCAGCCTGACCCTCTGCTGGTAAAGGTATGACCTGCCTTCCACAGGTCTCCTGGGTCCCGGGTCTCCTGTGATTCTGTGAGGCGGGGGTGGTGGGAGGGCTGGCCGAGTGTCCTGTAGCCCCCACGAGTTCCCAGAGGCCATGAGCACAGGCTTGAGTTGTCATTGGCCCTGCCTCTAGGCATCTGGGCTGTGACACCTGCCGATGGCCACTGCCTCTGCGTTATTTCCTGGTTGGTCAGAGGCTCGGCCCCTCAGGTATAGCATAGCTTCTCTGAATGTTCTGGACTGTGTGCCAATAAAACTTTATTTATAAAGCATAGTGGGAGGGCCTGATTTGGTCCATGGGCCATGTAATTTGCCAACCTGGGTTCTGTGTGTTTTTGAAGGTAACGGGGGCTCTCTGTTTCCTTGCAGGTGTGTGTTTTAGACCTGCGAAAGTAAATGGAATGTTGCAGGAAAGGGAAGAGAATTCTAACCCACCAGCAGTTCGCGTGGGGTGGGGTGGGGTGGGGGGGCATCCTGTGGGCTCCAGGCTGCACGGGCGTGGCGTGTGGGCGTGGACTTTGAAGTCAGCTCCTCCTGGGCCCTGGGCGCCTATATCTTTCCTAGTTCTTGTCAGAAAGTTTCAAACACACACAATTGTATCAGAGGTGGGAGGGTGGTTTCCACAGGGACATCTGGTTGGAAAGCGTGACGCCTCCAGCGGGATGGTCCCAGTTTGGTTCCCACCCAGACAGGCTCTGAGGGCTGAGACTGGAGGGGGAAAAGCTGTGGCAAAAGAGAAGAAAAGCGAAAAAGGCTGCGATAACCGAACGGGGGTGGAAGAGCTCTGCCCGCGGGCTGCGTGTCGCCCTAACAATTCGGCCACTGCCATGGCCCTCGCCAAGGATGTTCAGAGCCCAGCCTGTGCCGGGAAATGCGGGGCTTGTGATCCCAGCGCCCCCGTTTCACACAACCTTCTTTGTCAGGTGGCTTTTCTGTTGGAACCCTGTTCACTGGGCCTTCTGTCCACGATGGGGCCTGTTCCCCTTCCTCATTGCCTGTCTTGATTTTAGCGTGTCTTGATTTGCTGTTGATGCGGCCTTGGGGACACCATGACAAAATCTTTGCCAGAAGGCTTTCTCACCCCTCCCCTCTCCCCCTCTCCCCCTCTCCTTCTCCCTCTCCCTCCCCTGCTCCCCTTTATCATACTTGTTTCAGATCTTAGGTCTTGAGGGTACTTTTGGCTTAAAATAACTGCTTTATGTAGGAAGGCAGGGCAGGGTGACTTTTTACAGGAGGAAAGAAAAATGACTTAAAGAGAGCCCGGAGTATTTTTTGGGGGAAAATATTTTTATGTTAAAGCAATTTTAAAATCCTAAAATAGCCATCAGACAGCTTTGTGTGGTTTGATATTTTAAAATATTCTAGGGAACTGTTCCCTTTGCGGGCGGGGGGGGCGGTGGGCAGACCCGTGGACCAGCGGGATTTCCTCCGCAGAGGGAGAAGTCCGGCTCTTGGCTGGGGGACATTGTGGGATCTCCCCAGGAGCCCCCTCTGTAGCCCTGGGAGGGAACTGAAGAGGGTGCACTGTGCCCCCAGGAGCCTGTCCCAAACCAGCCGGTACTGAGGAAGCCATAGAAGCAGACAGCTCAGCTGTGTGGCCTGTTGGTGGCACCTCCTCCGTCGGCCACTGCCCCCGAGCTGCTGGGCGGGCCTGGCACGGCTGACCCCTGGCGGGCAGGGACAGAAGTAAACGGGAAGGAAGGCCCTTGCATCCGCAAGGTGGACTGAGGGTAGAGTGTCACCCATCACCTCCACTGTCTCCATCTCTTCTTTCTGTGCCAAGAGACTAGATTTTCTTTTTTTAATAATGAACCTTTTCACTGTTTTTAAATTAAACAGGAGTTTGTGTTTCTACGGGAATATCCTTTCATTGGATGAGGTGGCCTTTGCACTGTCAGCGCGGACGCTGACCTGGTTTTGAAAGTAGCAGTGGGAGAAGGGCCCTCACTCTCCCAGGGGCAGAGAGGAGAGCAGCAGGGGCAGAGCAGGGATGGGAAGGCGGCCTGGCGGGCGGGGTGCCCTGGGCATGTTCAGCGGCTGCATCCCAGCTACCAGATGGGATGCTATTCAGGGGCGGCGTCTGAGAGGCCTGGACTGAGCTGGATCTGGGACATCACCAGGCTCCATGGATCCGTGACTTCCTTGAGTCTGAGCCAGAGAAGGCCCCAAAGTGCTTTTCCGAGTTGGGTGTTTAATTCGGGCTGTTGCCAAGCGCGAAGTCTAGGAAGTCACCGCTCTCATCTTTGAAGGCAGCCGACACCCGGACCCAGTTGAGCATTTCCGCCCTGAGAATCATTAGGTTTGGGGCGCAGTGTGCGGAGGTGCACACACCGCCTGACCCCTCCCCCGACAGGAACCTGAGCTTTTCCGCAGAGCATCGCTGCCCAGGGCCGCCGGGAACACTGGTCCCTGGAAGGTCGGCCCGTGCCCGGCACTGTTTGCCTCCTCACAACTCTTCATGTCTCGCCACCCGTTAGTGACCAGACGTGGCCTTGGTCTGAGCAGGCGGCCCAGGCCGAGGCTCCCTGGTTTGCAGGGGCCACGGGCGGCCTGGCCCAGGGGAGGCGAGGGCCGAGCACCGCAAGCCCGGGACTGGGGTTTCCTTCTGTCCGGGCGAGGTGCACTCTGTCCCACGGAAGCCTGCTTCGCTCTGGTTATTTTCCTCTTTTTAAACCTGTTCCACCTTTTTCCCCCAAGTCGTGTTGCTTGTCAAACGCAGGCGCGTTCCTCCGCCCCGCCCCGGGGTTTTGGACTCTGGCTTCTGGGTGTGTTTGTCCATCAGATGTGCCAGCCGCGCCAGCGCCTCCCGACCTGTCCGCCCACCCGCGCCCCACGCTCTGGCCAAGAACCACCTGGCACTTCGCAGCCCATTTGCTAGGATAGGAGCAACAGGTCCTGTTCGGGGTCTTGAATAAATGGCTCTATTTTGATGCGAGAGAACATGGTGGGTGTGCTTCCTTCGTCCCGCTCGCCCACCGGGGCCTGCGGCACCCCGATGCGCAGACGCGCGTTCTCCCCACAGGAGGGGACTCGAGTGCCTCCCCCGGGCCCGCGTCTGGGGCTCTGAGGCTGCTGTTCTCAGGGGTGTGTTCCAGTGTGTTCCTTCCATGGCGCCATTTCCGCCGGCTTCCCAGCCAAAGTGAGTGATGTCCTCCTTCCCGGGGGCGGTGGGAGCGTGGGTTCCGGGATGAACGGGGATCGTTTGCAGAAGTCGGGGCGGGGCGCTGGCCCCGAGTGTGCACCGCTACCCACGCCCACTGAGCAGCTCCACTGCCATGTGCCCCGTGGCCGGTGTTGCCATCCATGCGCTTTAGTCCCCGGCAGGCGCGGCGTGGCTTTGCCAGTTAAGGGATGCCCCTGCCTGTGTCAGGGAGGCGGTTGTATCCGGGACACTGAGGCACAAAGCGGTCACAGTGACATTTTCCTCCACGTGCACCTCGGCCCTGCATGGGGGCAAAGGGGCAAAGCGCGGGCTGGGCCCTCCCTGCCTCTGTGGTCCCGGGTTGTCTGGGGTGCAGCCCGCTTGCTTCCTTCTCTTTAGCCCCGGCCCGTTGACCAAGCCTGTCCCCACGGGGTGGGTTTGGGGGGCGGTTTCAACAGCCCAGCCCTCCTGCAGAAGCACAGCAGGCCCAGCAGGACGTTGTAGTGAACATGGGGGGGGGGCGGGGGGCAGAACTCAGGACAGCGCCTGGGGTGGAGGTGAGGGAGAGGCGGGGGCCCTGTGCGGTGGGACTCAGGGCTTCAGTGATGAGGCTGTAACGGGGAACGGCTTCCCTAGGAAGTGGATGGGGACACAGACCCCCTCAGGTAACAGGACCCTTCTCTGCAGTGACTTCACACGTCCCCTTTACCCACTGAGCTCGGCTTCATGGACGTTGGTGGAATGTGTCCACTCACTGAACGGACGGTTTTTGGTTCAATGCCCACATCGCTGCGCTGTCCCTGAAGGAGATGGAGGATGTCCTTCGTGATCACGCCTGCAGGGCTGGCTGTTGGTTACTGTGCAGGGAACCTGGGCATCACTTTGTGAGCTGCATGGGAGGGGAGCAAGGGGGAAGCAGGGCCGGGCCTCTGCAAAAGGCTCAGAATGTGGTCAGATGGTCTCCCCCAGTCTGGCTCCTTTTTCTCTGAAGCATCTCATCCTCTTGGAGGGTGAGCAAGGCAGGAGGACAGGCTCCACCTGCAGGAAGGCTGGGGAGCTCCGGGGCAGGACTACCCAGAAACCTGAAGTTCCTGCTCTGGAGAATGGGGGCACTGAGTAGCAATCATTGTCCTCACTCAAAAGCCACTTACAGGTCTGGCCCGTGTGGCTAGATGGTTAGAGTGTCAACCCACGCACCAAAGGGTCTCCGGTTTGATTCCCAGTCAAGGGCACATACCAGGGTTGCAGGTTCACTCCCCGGCCATCAGGGCACATGTGGGAGGCAACCAATTGATGTGTCTCTGTCACATCAATGTCTCTCTCTCTCTCTCTCTCTCGCTCTCTCGCTCTCTCTCTGCCCCCCCCCCCCCCTTCAACTATAAAAATCAATGGAAAAATAACCTCTGGTGAGAATTAACAACAAGAAAAAATATACTTATGGAGGAAATGACTGCATTACTGCTCTATCATTGCTATAAAATAAATTAACTTGAGCAGACTCATTCACAAGTCTTTTGTGTGGTGACAAACTGACCAGTAAGTTGAAATGAACCGGAGCATCTTTCTACCCAAACGACACCCCAGCTACACCTTTGTCTGCAAGGACAGTGGAGATGAGTGCTCCACAGGATCCTGGCAAGGGTAGTTTGAACAACAAAAACAGGCAAATGTGCTTCTGGTCTACTGTGAGGTGAAACAATATTATTTCACCCTAATATTTCCACAAATACGTGAGGATTGTCTTTCTACTCTCCCATGTAACTGGAGGGAGGAGGGGAGGCCCTGATTCCTCTGTCATGGGGCTGAGGCACACCCTAGGGGCCGAGGGAGGGCCTCTTGTGGTCCCCAGACTTGAGTCTGGGTTCTGGGCACTGCCAGGTTGTCTCGAGTTTGTGGGTGTAGAGACCCTCAAGGCCAGTTCTCACCTGAGTCCAGCCCTGGATGGTGTCTGTGGCCCGATGCACCTTCCCCAGGCCGAGGGAGGTCGAGTAGTTGAACCCGTTGACCAGCCCTTCAGTGATGTCCCTGTTGGAGCTCTACAAAGACAGAGCCCGGTACCGGGCCAGGAGGCTTCAGGAACCTTCCACCCCAATCTGCGGCTCTACCCCATGGCAGCCCTGGCAAACTGAGACCGTCTGTTAGGACACAGTGAGGATGTTCCGGCAGCCCTGCTGAACTAGCAAGAACTGATTCATGTCAAGGCATAACAGTGAAAGCCTGAATCACTGAGGAAAACTCTGTCCTTGTTGGGGTGATATGGAGATGGGTAAGGCCACAGCAACTGATGGGCTGCACTGCAGTGGTTGGCTGTGTTCTGTGGGATGTCAGGTTGTTGAGAAATATATCCAATACTTTAATCCATCAGATTGGATTCTGTGAGGCAGGGGTGGTGGGAGCGCTGGCCGAGTGTTTAAAAAAAATACACAGCACTATTAAGTGGGATGATGTGTAAGGATTAGAGAAAGTCTACAAGGACAGCTGAGCAGGGATTGGTCCACAGGATACCTGGAGCAGGGGGTTAAACATTTGAAATGAGAAAAACGCAAAGACAGAAAAAAATGTTCTCTGATTCCAGTGAACACATGAAGACTGTTTTTCCACCTACCAGGGACCAGGTTGGGAGTATTAGAGCATCAGATTTCTTTGGGAGTGGGTCCATGAAAACTTTGAAGCTGCAGATTTGAGTCTGAGTTCTGTTCCCACCCCAGTCACCTCAGGGTCATGAGTGTGGGCCACCTCTCACCTCAGACTGGCACTGGACGGATTTCCTGGCCTGGTCCACTTGTCCTCTGTACCTGTTGCTGACATCAGAGAACCTGTCAACCTGCTGTTCTACGACATCATGGCTGGAGCTCTGCAAAGACAGAGCCCAGTCCCCAGCCAGGAGGCGTCAAGGGCCTGGGCATTACCAGTGGGGAAGATGCCCACCACCCATTCTGCTCCCCAGATCAGGCAGAGAGGGGCATCTGCAAAGACCTCCAGGCAGGGAGGGAATAAGATGATCCCGTGAGGACCCCCAGCTAACAAGTGGGTAGTAGAGTCCATCCCCAACATTCAGCTGTGAGCCATGACCTGGGCAATGATCATGACAGACCCTTCAGGCTTCTGACACCTACCGACCAGCTCCTGCCCAGGATGTGTGTCCTTCATCCCATGCTGTCCCTCACCACCCCCAACAAACACATACCTGGGATGAGGAGTAAGAAGTGTGGCCTCCCTAGCTGGGGGCCACGTTAAGGTCTGTCTTGGGAAGGTCTTCCCTGGCAAGTCCACCGTAACCCGATGCGTCCTCCTGCCAGGGGCCGAGGGATGTCGGTGGCAGCACTTGCGCCAATTTCTACAACAAAAAAACCATCTCTCACTCTGGGCTTTCTTCTGCCCAGAGCGTTGGAAGAACGGGAAGCAGCAGAGAGACATCCTAGTCTTCTGAGCCTCTCCACTCAAGTGAGGTGGAGAGGCAGTTGTCTCTAGAATGTAGGTACCTGGTTACCACGGTTCCAATTTCTGGTGAGGATCTGTCACAAAGGAAGTGAAGTCACCCCTTCGAGGTTCCATGGCTTGGGCCTTTCCTCCAATCAGAGTTACCCTAAGCCCCCTCTGGGCTGGTGACCTCTCACTCTCTTCACCCATGTCGTCTCCATACCTGTACACCATTATCCAGCACAGCCCTCCCCCTAGCTCCCTGGGAAGGTACCAGGCCCCCTGCTTGGGAGAGAAAGCTGAGTTCACACCTCCTCTTTCTTACTAGTTTGTGTCCTGGGGAAGCCTCTGTGCCTCTCAGGGCCTCCCCGGTCTCCCAAGCTGCCCAATGAGGATGATGCTAGACACCATTTCCATAGGAAGCCATCAAATGTGGATGAGTTAAGGCCCCTAATATGGTGGGATCGTGTCCCATGAATCTGATGAACAAACGTAGAGGTGGAAGAGTGAGAAGAATGAGAGGGACACAGCATGGAACACTAGACAAAACAGGGCCGGGGTCCAGTGTGTGATGTTATGGAAGTCACTGCTCATTTGGCTCATTTTCAAGTCTGCACCTTTAAGGGTTGGAAATGACAGGAAATTCAGATATTGTCACTCCCTGGCCTAAAACCTCACAGAGGTCTCTTGTTAAGTTTAGAATCAGACCCAGTGCCTCATGTGGGTCCAAGCGTTAGGGGCCTTCACAGTGGCTTCGAGGGAGTCCAGCCTCCTGGTGGGAACATCCTTGTGTGTCACTGAGTGCTCAGTAACTGGCTTCTGAACAACATAGAGGACGGCCCAGCTGATGGGATGTCAGGTCCTGTCATTCTCTTTTAGTCTCATTCTTGAGGTCCCTTCCTTCCTCTAGATTTCACTCTGTATCTGTGTCTCTGTCTGTCTGTCTGTCATATCTCTGGAACAAGGAGAACAAACGTTCATGTGTTGAGCTGCCCTATGTAGGGGCCTCATAGGAGAGAACCGAGAAAGTGCCCAGGCAAACAGGCAGCAACTCAGGCTCTCAGTCCAAACTGCATCCTAAGGAACAACAGGCAAGTGAGCTTGGGAGGAAATCTGTCCCCAGTTGAGCCTCAGTTGAAACACATCTCCTGCTTCACTGACACCTTGAGGCAGAGTCACCCAGACAAACCATGTCCAGAGGCCTGCTCCACAGAACTTGTGTGGTGTTAATATTTGCACTTTAGCGGTGCAAAGATTGAGAGCAGTGTTGCTTGTGCCTCAGTTTACCCATTGGACACTCAGCAATAATAAAAAGCCTATCCTCTCAGAGGCTATGGAGAGTGTTAAAAATTAATGTTTCAAAAATGGAGGGAAC